GCGTGTTTCTGGATTAGATTTTTGGAAGCTTCGTTAATATCAGCTTGCGGAAAATGAGTCAAAGGCCAAACCTGAAAAGAAAATACATACAGCAATGACATTTACTCACTTTCGGTTATTACGGATTAAATTACATCACTCCATAGTTTACCTTGACTTTCACAGTAGAGTCATAAGAATATTTGTGAGCATACTTAGATTTTTAAAATTTTTGAAAACTTAAACATATTTTTACTTATGTTTATAAATATATATTTCAAAACAAAATCCTTATATTTACTAAGGTAAAGTCCATCAGAGCATGAAATGCATTGGTAAAGAAAAAGTTTTACTTTTTGTCTATATATATATATATATATATATATATATATATATATTTTTATATATATATATATATATATATATATATTTATATATATATATATATATATATATATATATATTATATATATATATATATATATATATTTTATATATATATATATATATATATATATATATATATATATATATATATATATATATATATATATATATATATATATATATTTATATATATATATATATATATATATATATATATATATATATATATATATATATATATATATTTTTTTTCCTTTCATTTCATTGTTGGAATTGTTACCTGATGATCCGGAGTCCTTTAAAAGGATTTTGGTGAAATAAATTATTGTAATGGTACCTTAAAGTGGTCTGTTTTTTCATTAAATATATATATATATATATATATATATATATATATATATATTTAAAATTTGGAGATCAGCCAATCATGCTACCTTGATTTCAACCTTTCCGTATATAGCAGGATTGGCTGATCTCTTAATATTTTTAAATTTAAAAGCTCTGCATGTTAAATTTTTATTTTCTTTATACATGTATTGAGTACTTTTTAATACAACTGTTTCCTGATCTAATTCAACTCTGACCAATAATTGTTTTTATAATTATATATATATACATATATATATATATATATATATATATATATATATATATACACACACACACACACATATATGTGTGTGTGTGTGTGTTTCTTTCATGCGCTTCCAATCCTCAGCTATGATTAATTAATGATGAACACGTCATTTTCTTTTATGATCGATTACATCATGATTCTTTTGTTAGGTTTATACATTCTTATTGCTCAAAGTAGAGTCTAATCGTGTTATAAGAACCTCGAAGAATTCCAGTAAGATATCTTTAATCATTTATAAGATACAACGGTTCAAAGCTTAATGTAACAATTGGAGAATTTTGATGTTACACAATTCGGACAATTTTGATGTTACACAATTCGGACAATTTTGATGTTACACAATTCGGACAATTTTGATGTTACACCCGGTATATATATATATATATATATATATATATATATATATCTATATGTGCGTGTATGAATTGGAATCAAATATGGATCAGAATCCAACAGAATGAGAGGATAAAGGACAAATAGCAAATATTTATCAATCTAACCTGTTTCACTTTTATTTTAGTTTCATCAAAGAATGTGATATGGGACAAAAGAATCTGGTATTTTTCACTTTTGTGTCATTTATTTTCATATGAAGTCTACTTAAACAATGAAAAATACACAACACACAAATTAAAAATAGCAGAATGCATTTTTTCTCCATATCTCATTCTCCGATGAAGCTCTAATAAAGCAAAACATGTTACATTTATAAACATTTCCTATTTGTTCATTACAATATCATGTTTGTGTGTTTATATATAATGAAACTTGTATAAAAAGAGGATATGTGTCCAAATACACATATATACTTAATAGCTGTTATTGTGAGCACTGTTTTTCTTACACCAAAGGATATATATATATATATATATATATATATATATATATATATATATATATATATATATATATTAAGGCATTAAAAACTAGAAATGTTGTATTGTAGGCCATGATAAGTTTAAAATAAAACACACACCAGTCGACCGGTTTCGTCCCCTCTCGTCAGAACTGTTAAGGGGGGAATTTAGATTATGAGAAAAGAAAAAGTCTGTCATGGGTGGCATGAATGAATGGACAGGGAAGGAAAAAAAAAAAAAATTAAAATTATACCAACCAAGCTGCTAGAAGCGCAGAACAGCAAGTCCAAGCAAACAATCTCTTTGTTTGCAAAGAGCAGGTTTCCTGGACCTGATGTAAAGCGACTCCAACACCTTAAGATGGAAAAGTGAGTGCGAACTGGCCAAGACAGAAAACCAGTTCACACTGAAATCCATCGCACAAGTTGGATTCTTTATAAAATGATCCTAATCGAAGACCCATACGTGTTACGAATGGTATCGCCAAAAGAAAATTTTTTTGTTTAGTATTATCGCGAGGTACGTGTTGTTTAATTCTCGTCCAACCGCTGTGTCGTTCTACCTATGTAGTCGCATCCACAACTACATTTGAAATAGTAAATAACAGAGTTAATATGGTGGGGGGGTAGAACCTCTTTACACATAGATGAAAGTACGGATATATATATATAATTAAACCTAAAGAGCCAGACAAACCTACCAAGGTTTCACCTATGCAGATCGTCAGGCAAGGTTTGGTCTACTTAGCATATTGAGCACTTTATTTATTTTTTTTTTACTTACTCGTATCGGGTTTTTTTTCTTTGGACTCTGGACTTGGATGCTAGACGATTGTCTTCGGCTGACGTACGTTCTCTGTTCTTTCTTTTTTTGTACCTATTTTTTCCCTTTGGTATTGGTTTGGTTATTTGCAAATCAAGGAACTGAAGGTTTTACGAATGAGTATAATTTCTTATATTTATAAGATTATATATATATATATATATATATATATATATATATATATATATATACTATTACTAGTATTATTACTAGTATATATATATATATATATATATATATATATATATATATATACACTATTACTAGTATTATTACTAGTATATATATATATATATATATACTATTACTAGTATTATTACTAAATCTATTCTCCCGTCGGGTTTGACGTATGAGGGTCAAGCAGACCAGTTTCCAGGAAACTGACAGCCCGACACTGGCACATGAGATTCGATTATAGTGGTGAAGGTTTCATGCAGGACCATCCACACTTTTTGAAGGGCCGAGTACAGAGACCTGGTGCACTGCGTGCCACAAGGTCCCCAAACAACCCCGCTCAGGTTTTGAATTCAGAGTTGTCCTTCTCCTAGACCAGTTGCCACCCAAGGCTATAGAACCCAGTCTGTCCTGCTATTTAACCCATAGCTGGAGGGAGAAGAATAGGATTCACACCTTTCCCAAGGGTATTAGCATGTAAGTGAATGTAATGGATTCAACCTGGATTCGAACTCGGCTCTGCGATTCCACAATCCAAGCCGATATGTATTTGTACATAAACATTTACATGTATGTTTATATTTATTCATTTGATTATACAGATATATTAAAAAATATACATAATATCTTACATTAATTGCACAACTCCATGAAACTCTGAGTTGTGCAATTAATGTAAGGTATTATACATATATCTTTATGTACATACATATATATATATATATATTAAATTGCACGTTTCTTTCTTACACTATCAGTTATATGCCATGCGTGATACACACTTAGGCATTCATGTATCTTTCAATACATGACTGACGAGGCAGATTTTTTCCCCCACAGTAGGTTGCCATTTCTTTCTGCGGTAGACCAGTTGCCATTCAAGGTTATAGAACCCAGTTTGTCCTGCTATTTACCCATAGCTGGGATGGGGGAGAAGAAGAGGATCCATACCTTTCCCAAGGGTATTAGCACGTAAGTGAGTGTAATGGATTCGACTGGAATTTGAACTCAGCTCTGATTCATCAATCTGAGCTGCTATCCATTACTCCACCGTGCCTCCTCTTACACTATAGAGTATTTATATGTATTTGTATATGAACACTCACTTGTATACCAACCTATGTTTACCCATTCAGTTATATATATATATACGAAATCTCCACAAACATTCTTAAATGCCTATAATTGATAACAGAAGCCATTGGTTTATACCAACGGCTTCCCATACTTAATACTTCTCATTTTCACTCTCGTGTGGTCATGTGTGACGTCACAAGCTGTGACACAATACACGAGTTTGTGGCTGTTTTGAAATTTTTCATGCAACAAAAACAGACTATCATTATTGTTTCATCCGTGTATTGTTTGATATATTGAAATGTAATTGTCATCTTTGATAATGGCTTATGTAAGCCGAAAGCTTAGATTGGATTTAAACATGTATCAATATGGTGATTTCCTTTTGTCTTTCTATGATAATGTTAAGCTTATCAGACAATATGAAAGGAATTTACTTAAAATAAATAGACAAAACTTGTCTATATTATTTAATGAAACATGCATCAAATATATATATACATACATATATATATATATATATATATATATATATATATATATATACACACACACATATATATACACACATACACACCCACACATATATATACATATAGACATGCACACACCCCACACACATTATATATATATATATATATATATATATATATTATGATGAATCATTCATACAAAAAAAAAATACTTTACTAATTTACTTTTTGATGGATGATTCATTGTAATATAATCTGAACTGCACCACATGTTTGATATATATATATATATATATATATATATATATATATATATATATACACACATATTGGTAATTTCTTCATATGACACATCATTTTCTACACATCTATCATTAACATTAAATGACTGGATACATTCTGAACAGACCTCATATACAGGATTCGTTACCCTATCTACAACACATCCCCACCCCTCAACACACAATAAAAAATTTTTAATTTGTTTTTCAGATATCTGTTGGACTGGATACATATTGGCACATTGCCCTAACACAAGTATTACAGTTAGGCGTGGGTGTCTGCTTTTGGCAAAGGAGTCAATGAACCAAGTCATCCCCCTCCCCCACTCTGGATCATCAGGACATTTGCACTTCAAATCATTTCAATGTATACTCAAATAAAGGATAATGGTGCAGTACAATTGTTTAGGCAATGCCAAATTAATGTTCCCAAAATGACTGTATCGTTCATTATTTGCTGGAGATCCTAACTAGGTAGCCAATAAGATATATTCCAGTATAGACTTAGATAGATAGATAGATAGATAGATATTAAGACAGTGATAGATAGATAGATAGATAGATAGATAGATAGATAGATAGATAGATAGATAGATAGATAATGAAGAGACTAAAATAGATATTAAGAGACAGATATAGAGGTAAAGAGACAAATATATAAGACAGCGATAGATAGATAGATAGATAGATAGATAGATAGATAGATAGATAGATAGATATTAAAAGACAGAGTTAGATAGATAGAAAGATAGATAGATAGATATTGATAGATAGATAAAGAGATAGATATTAAGAAACAGATATTGATAGATAATTATTAAGAGACAAATAAATAAAAAGATAGATAAATAGATATTAAGAGACTTGGATAGATATCGATAGATAAAGAGATAGATAGATATTAAGAGTTAGATATTGATGGCGAGATAGATTTTAAGAGAGAGTTGGTAAATTACCATAACAATATATAATTTAAATAAGGTATATGTTAGCTGCAAGAATTTTCTCAAAAACATATTTTGTTAAATAATATGGACAAGTTCTGTCAAATTTTTTATTAAATCTTTCAAATTTGTTTTGTATTATCAGTAAATTTGTCAAAATTCATATTAACTTATATTTTATATTAATTTTTCATTGGATGGTTTGATCTCTCTTTCTATGAGAGAATGTCGAAATTTTGTTGTATTACCGTCCTTTTACACTGCAGGATCATATAATTTAAATATTTTAGTACATTAACTTTTGTGCCACCCTGTATATATATATATATATATATATATATATGAAGCCAATGTCTATTGCTTTGCATTGGCCCAAACCTATCAGGCTATGATTTTGTCTCTAATCTCAAAGTCTAGCCCAGATAAACCTATCATATCTTCCAAACATAACCCCCTAAATAAATATCCACATGAAACAGTATAATTTATATGTTACTGATTTCAACATGCTAAGTACCAGAAAACATTTCAAACTCTAACAATGATCACATATAAAAATTTAAAATGTATTGTAATAATTTACAGATTTCTTGGAAGTTTTAATTTTGGTTTTAATTGCAAGAACACAGCATAAATTGTAAAAAAAATATTTTTAAATCACATTTGTGCAATTAAAATAGGTTTGAGACTGTTTTAATAGCAATTTTTGTCATTCAAAATTAACTTCAATCATACCATCAATGATGTCTGCCAATAAAATAATTTAAACTCTATAATCAAATTATTTCAAAAGGCATTACCTAAATGTAGGATTTAACAAAAATTAGATATTAATGGATGCTAAATTGAGTTTTAGAAAGTTACAAGAATCAGATTAGATCCAAAATGGAGTATTGCTGCCATGTCTGGGCTGGAGCTTCTCAATCCTCACTTTCCAGCTTTGATAAGAGTTCAAATCGGGGAAGACACATTCTCCACTGTAAAGCCTCTTTCCCACAGATATAACATCATGATATAATGAATATGCATACACCTGGGCATGTCTATCATCTTTGCCTATTGCCTACACCTATTGCCTACCACTACGACGAGGACCAGTCCATTACGGTTACCTGCTAGATTGTCCTACTCGGTTAGAGTAGTCCAAAACCACTTTGCTACCTTGAACAAATATATCCTTTTTCGGAACATATCAAATTCTTTTTGTATGAGCTATGGTAAAAAATGAAGGCATTAGGTTCAACCTAATGAAACATGAAAATGAATAAAGACCAGATGCTAGTCTTACTGTCCCAAGGTTGGGAGTGGGGGGGGAGTTAATTCTTCCCGACCAGGAATCACAACGAGTGAAACACTGATGTAATGAATATGCATACACCTGGGTTCCCCCTCACAGTAATATGATTGGCTGGTGTCAGCCATAAATACAGACTGATGTGGAGGTACAAGGAAGACGCCTATTGTCTTTGCCTATAGCCTACACCTATTGCCTACCACTACGACGAGGACCAATCCATTAAGGTTACCTGCTACATTGTCCTACCTGGTTACAGTAGACAACAACCACTTTGCTACTTTGAACAAATATATTCCTTTCCGGGACATATCACATCAGAAATCTATATACACATTATTGCTATTTCCATGGTAACTGAGTTAAATTCATTGGTACCACTAGTTCAGGTTTTTCCTGCTAAGACCCATCATGTTATAAAAATCTCAAAAAGTCATAATAAAAAGTCAAGAGTAAACAGTTATCTATCCACCATAATTATCACTTCCTAATTCTTCCTTGTACTTTCATTTCACACACTTCATTATGTAACTTTCTATCTTGAATTGTCTTTGAAATTTTATTCAATGGATATTAGTAAAAAAAAAAATTAATCTTATAGTGAACAAAACAAGCTGTAGATATAAAATTCAAATGCTAAGCAAAATTTCAAATAATCTTCAATTGTCAGAAACAAATTCTTTCATGGACCTTTTTGTGAGCCAACACAAAAATTTGTTCATCGACCAATGAAAAGGTCCGTGAAAAAATTTGTTTCTGAGAATTGAAGATTATTTGAATTTTGTTTTTAAATGTTTCCTAGTTTTCTATTGGCCGAAAAACATTTCGCATCAAGGTGTGAAATTTCACGAGTTTTGTTTTAGATTCGCTTTTGCGTGTGTGTTAAGCAAAGTTTGTAAATTCGAGTCTTTTTTTAATTTCTAACAAAATCAATGAGTCAGTGCTTAGCATTTGAATTTTATATCTAGATCTTGTTTTGTTCACTATAATCTAAGCTTAATGGGTATTTTCAGTATTTCTGACCCATAATTGATAAACGCCTGTTTAAATACACGTGGTGGTAACTAAAATATAGATGACCAAAAATGACAAAATTGGATATTACTTACAATGGCAAAATATATTTCCAACATTAAAACAGCCATTTGATTGGTAATATGCGTGTTCAAAGACCTCGTATTTCCAAGGGGACATAATTCTCATAAGTTACCTAGATATTACCTCCCTTGAATATTTAATGCTTTGACTTTGAAATGAAGTTCCAGATAATAAATATCAGATATTATAACTTATCGTCAAATTTAAATTATAAAGGGAAACAAAATAAAAAAAAAGAAAAATATTACACGATTTCTTTCGAAAATTCAAAACCGAATACGTTTATCTGTCTATATTCCTGAGATGAGGTATTAGGTACATTATTTACATTATTCAGACTATTGTCCTCATCTTTGTCACCATATTTATTACAACATTTCGGCCTTTCAGTATCTGTCTATATTTCTGAGATGAGGTATTATGTACATTATTTACATTATTCAGATTATTGTCCTCATCTTTGTCGCCATATTTATTACAATGTTTCGGATGTTATACACTCCGGCCTTCTTCAGGTGGTTGGAATTACAATATGAGCACTGGTAAAAATGGTTGCTGAGAGATTAGGTTTATAATACTCAGAAATTCATACACAGGATGCATGGCACAGTGGTTAAAGGCGTTGGTTAGATCCAGTGACAGGACCCAATGAGTGTGAGTTCAATACCCGGTTAAGGCAGTGGAGAACTTTCAGAGGGAAATTAACAGGAGATAACTGATAACTGACATCCATTAAGCATGAAACTAGAACAGTCTAGGTTCGATTCGACATTCCAACTACCTGAAGAAGGCCGCAAAGTTGTAATAAATATGGTGACAAAGATGAGGACAATAGTCCGAATAATGTAAATAACGAACAGGTTTAGTTTGATTTCTTTTACGGCATATGGGTTATTTAATGCAGACAACATTTTTATTGCTGGTAATATATTTTTTCTTCAAAAATCTATTTCTGGAAATATTTTTCCTTGAAGAAATCTATAGCTGGTAATATTTTTTTAAAATAATGTATAGCTGTTCGTATTGCTAGTACTTTTTTTTTTCTTTTTTTTTTTTTAAGTATTGCTGATAATAATTTTTCCTTCAAAAATTATTTCTGGTAATATTTTTTTATTACAAAGTATTTCTGGTATTAAAACCTATTTTTACACAAGTTTGGGTATCAACTATTTACCCATACCTGGGACCCCTAACAGGTGCTACCACCCTGGGTCAGAGTGAACAACAACAATTAAGAGGTGCTTCCACGCTCCTCAAAACCTCCTGATCAGAGGCCTTGCTGCTGGACGTAATTTATTGTCTTACCCAGGATGCAGATGTAGTTTATCATCATACCCAGGATGGAAACCGAATTGTTTAAGAATTTATTTCTTAATATGCAGTACTATGAAACAGAACTCCAGTCTAACTTTTTCCAACATCTTCCTGGACCAACTTTAAAAATATAATTAAAAACCATCCCCCCAAAAAATTGTGCTTTCTCTGTGGCAAAAAATAGTCATAAATATATGTATTTGTATGTATAAACCTTTTTTATGATCCATTTGTATATTCTAGTGATGTATATAAAATGTTTTCAGGCACAATTCATTTTTGGAATTAATTTCTTTGAGTTATTCTAGTCTTGTAGTAGAAAGATTATATTGAATTAATTGCTAGGCCTGCTGCTTGAAAAGTTGGTTCTCTGTGTTCTGCTAGACATTTTTTCTCTCCATAATCTATCTTATATAAATCTAGTAATCCTACTTGTTTTGAATATTGTTGCCACATCTAGTCTGGTGCTCCTGCTATATATTTAGAGATTCTTGATAAAATCGAAAGAAGAATCTGCAATGTTATCAGTCCTGATCTAGCATCTTGGTTTCAGTTACTTTCCCACTGCCATAATGTAGCTTCTCTATGTCTTTTCCATAAATATTTTCATGGCAATTGTTCTGATGAACTTTCCTCTTTGGTACTTAGACTTTATGAATTTAAGCGCAGTACTAGATTGGCAGCTAGGTCTCATCATTTTACAGTTGAAATGGCTAGATGCAACCATAAGTTCTATGCTAACAGTTTCTTCTATCACATTTCTTGCTTGTGGAACTCTCTTTTGGCTTCTTGCTTTCCAGTCAGCTTTGATCTTCAAAATTTTAAATGCAATGTCAATCATTATCTTCTGTCTTCTTAATTCCTGTTCTTTTATTGTTCTCTCTCCTTAACAGAGTTTTTTTCTAGCACTAATATTCTCTAACACTCCATAACCCTTTGTGTCTTAGTGGCCTTATTGCCTTGCTAGAGGTGAAATAAGTAAAAATAAGTGTCCTTTCTTCTGTTGTGTTAAGATGTCAATATATAATGGTTATACTTGTGGGGATTACCGCACCTTGTTTGCCAGGACTTTTGAGAGGTGGTATTCTATATAGGACAATAAAAGAAATGGACATAAACTCTCTTCCTTTCTCTTTTGCTCTGCAATGTAGCGAGAACATAAGGACTTCTCTCTACAAATAAAGATTTCTTTCCCTGGCAAACCAACTACTTA